ATTTCCCCCTATGTTACCCCCCTCCCCCCGAAGGTAAAACATTACCACTTCATTTAGGATTCACACCCCAGATGCTATATTAGGGACTTCATGATAAAACTCATCCAGTTACAGGAAGGTTTATCCTGATCAAGGAAACGTCATTAAAATAGAATCTAGAATAAAACATTCAGAATCACCAATGCTTTTACAGCCAAAGCACTCCACTGTCTCCTGATCTCTCCCCCCACCTTGAGCAGGAGAGCAATCCCCTCCCAAAAGCGCAGTGTGCCTCTCTAGGGCTGGGTGACACATGCTCCAAACCCACTTCCTTCCTTGCAGGAACACCGCCTCCTGTGGGAAGGGCCGAGTCCCTTTGGCCCTGCTGCAGCCAACGGGGGCCAGGGCTCCTCAGCGCATGGATTCTCTGGGAGCAGCAAGTCCAAGCTATTACCCTGCAGCAAATCCCAGTCCTGGTTTGTACTGTTAGGCCACCACTGGCTCAGAAATGCTGAGAGACTTCCAAACTCCACGGGTGCAGACAGGACCTTGGAATAAGAGGCTTATACGCTACGTAACCTTGGATCATCGGCCACATTTGAGCCTTGGCATCGCTGGCCGCTAACAGCTCATCCTTCCAAATCCACATGGTTTAGTCCTTGCTGCAGTTGTCATCATCCCAGCCCTCTTCCCTGGAGGCAGGATGTTCCTGAGCTCTGGCTTGGGGATCCACAACAATCACTTCCAGTGGGTGGTGGGGTTTCAAACTTGCCTCCGGTGTGCATTGCCCCTGGCACTCCAGCAGCCGTGCCCACCCCGCGGCGGGCGCTAGCAGTTCTTCACCTTCTCCACAGTCTCGTAGAAGCCAGGCCTGACCCTGCGGATGCTCATCCGTATGTGCTCGCCCTCCAGGGGCGCGGTGGTGCTGGCGGTGCAGCGGCGCTTGCGCCGGCCCCGCAGCGAGAAGGCCGGGGCGCCGCCGTTCTCCTCCTCCGCCGGGTACGACTCGTCCACGCTCGTGCCCTCGTCCGACTGCTCCTCGCCCCGGTCCCTCGCCTTCGCCTTCCTCCCCTCCTTCTCCTCCCTGGCGAGCTTCCTGAAGTGCTCCAGACACTGGATCTTCTGCCTCCTCTCCATCATCTTCAGCTCCTGCTTCTCTGTGAAATCTTCGTAGTACATTTTTCTCTCGCTCCTCTGGTCTTCCAGAAACTTCCACTCGATGCTGGTCATTTTTATCCCACTGTACTCCTCCAGTTTATCCCTCATTTGTGTGTCTGTGCAGAACACATCAAAGAGCTTCTCCGAGCTCTCGTTGAATTTGTCGGCCCGATCGGAGAACTTCTGGTTCTGTCTTTGCTTCCTGGTCTGGTACAACCTGGTGAACTCCTCGTACATTTTGAGGATGAGTTTCTTTATGTTCTGCGTGGCGATGGTGTGCAGGTTGCAGACCAGCCAGTGCTCCTGCAGGTGCTCTGCCAGCAGCTGTGCCGCGTCCTCCTTGGAGCGCTGGGCCTGGCCGGCCCTCTTGGGCTGCAGCAGGTACAGCATGTTCTGCACCACATCCTTCCTGGTGGGCAGCACCCCCTGCGCGAAGCCCGACGACTCCACGTACTCCACAGTGCCCAGAGTCTTGCGTGCCCGCACCTCGGTGTCCAGTGATTCCATCCCTGCTCAGGTGCGGGGGCTACCACAGGACCTGGGGGATGAGCGAGAGGAGAAGGGTGTCAGGGGAGCCGTGTTCCCGCACAGGCCCCCGGTGAGAGCAGGGCTCTGGGCCCCGTGCGGCCGGAGCGCCGGCCCGGCCCCTGCCCGGCTCTGCGGGCGGGCCGATCGCTCCCCGGAGCGGCTCCGAGCCTAATACGGAGCGTGAGCCGGCACCCGGCGATGCCGCGCCCCGCGCCGAGTTGGGAATCCCGGCACACCAGGGGGAGAGCGGGCCCGGCCCGGCCCGGCAGCGCCCGAGTCCCCGCTCAACCCCGGCCCGGCCCGGCCCGGCCCGCACCCACGCGGCGCGG